ACGGGGAAGACCAAACGAATTCAAAGGATCTCCTGAAGAAGTTCAAGTCAATTCTCTACTATCATTGTGCAATAGGTTAAAACTCCGTTTGGTTGGCAAATTAAAATGAATCTACTACACGGTTTGTTTTCGGTGCTATTTATCGTTGAATTTTCGGTAAGTTTTTTCTATTCCTTTATCATTTTCACTTTTATCCAATAAAATACGATATTTCTGTAGAAATGAAAATTAACACGAGATTTCTTTTTCTAGGAACTTCAAGGAAAACGTAAGACATTTTTGGTTTTCGAACTAGCTTCTTATGATACCAAAAGATTTTTCCAGGCTTTTATAATATTCAATTCGAAATTTCAACTTTTTTTCTAATGAACAGATGGCTTTTTCTCGCAAGCTCTTCTTAAGGGCGAAGTGATTGAAAACATGTCACAGGCAAAGCTTGTAGCTGGAATCCATATCCCCGCAAGTGAGTCTGCTTTAGAATCATTTTCATTTTTTGTGTGTGAATTTTTGTCCGAAAAATTCGCATATTCTATCAATTTTGCTAGGGGCTGACCACGCTTCAGTTAATTGAAAATAATGCTAGATTTTATAATTTTTTTCAAACAATATATGATGCGGTTGGAATGAACATGAGACTTTCGTCGCTCAATGCACAGATACGAAACAAAAACAAAGCAATCCATTAAAATGGAACATGAAAAAGAAATCCGTAAGAATGAAACATAGCATGTGCCGTTTTAAGTATTTCGCTTTGCGGTGTTCCGTTTTGATAGATTTTTTGTCTGCAGTGTCGTTATCAACGAATCCTCTCGCATTGTTTCATATGAATGGATCCGTATCACATTGTTTCGTTACTCGAATACTTTTTCGTGTGTTTCATTTCAATTGATTCCCGAGCTATTGATGACGTCAGTCTATAGAAGTAAAGTAATAAATAATATATTACTATTTCCTATTACTATTACAGGCTATTACAGTAATGGCTATTACATTTTTCCTATTACTTTTCCTAATGCATGTAATAGTAATAGTAATAGGTTCACCCTGTCACAAAAGTAATAGCTTCTGTAATAGCGATCCTATTACATTATGATTTTCCTTTTACATGTATTAGCAATAGGTAATGCCTATTACATTCCTATTACTTTTTCAAAAAAAAATTTTTTCTAAAGTTTTAAATTTTATATGAAACTTTGGAAAAAAAATTTTTTTGAAAAAGTAATAGGAATGTAATAGGCATTACCTATTACTATTGCTATTACATGTAATAGGAAAATCATAATGTAATAGGATCGCTATTACAGAAGCTATTACTTTTGTGACAGGGTGAACCTATTACTGTAAATATTACTATTACTTTTGTAATAGGATGAACCTATTACTATTACAGTAGAATCTCGGAAAAGTTAATTAAAATGTTCCAGAGGTGATTAACTTTTCTGAATTATTAACTTTTCTGGACATTTTTCAAAATTGATACAAATTGCATGGTTCAACGATATTTGGTTCAAATTTTATTATATTGGCACATTTTCATCAGTTTACATCAAAAAGTAAAAATAAGTGTCAATAAAAATCGAGAATTTCAATCCGTTTCTTCTTAATTTTCGATATGGCTGCTTCAGATACACCATATTCTGGAGCCAATCGTTCTCCGTGAACCTCACTGTCGGTTTTTTTTTTCAAAATTTCACCATTTTACTCTAAATTTAATCTGGCTTGTACTGGTTTATTCAATTTTTCCAACATTTTAATCGACAAAACGAATGAGAGCTATGTAGAGCGAATGCAACTCACTAAATCTATTGTTTATATCGGCTAACTCGTACACAACAAAGGCCACTGTCAGCTGTTATTGTTTGTCAATACATTTATAAAAAGAAAGGATTAGTAGAACACAATACACAGCGAACAGGCACTTGCCTGAAACGCTGATCAATATTTTTTTCGTTTTGTATTGTTGGTTTGCATTGCAAAACTACAGAATCGCGTGGAAAATGTACACACGCTCTAAAAAGTTAAGCAAATAATTAACTTTTTAAGGCGTTCAATGGGAGTCGAACGTCGCTTAACTTATCTGGACAATTAACTTTTGTGTGAATTAACTTTTCCGAGATTCTACTGTACTTTCCTATTACATGTAATAGTAATAGGTAATAGGCACTACAATTTTTTACTTCTATACGTCAGTCGCATTTATCACATGATGCAAATTAAGTGATATGGAGCGCGAATTTCGATGTTGCGATAACACCAATGGATTAGGCACAAAAAATACTGTATGAGAATCGAAAAAAAAATTTCTAACTTTTTTTCGATTTTTGCCTGTTTCGGATCGTCAACATGGGAAGTTTGTATGAAAACCTCGGAGCGCCGGTGTTTTACACGTATTGTTATACACATCAACAAAGCAGTCTGCCTCACCGTAGAAAAGAAGTGCGAGTTAAAGATTCTTTCGAATCAAATGAAGATTTTAGACCAAATAATATTTTAAGGTGCACTATGTGCTTTATTTCCCAAAATCAAATGGTGAATGGTTTACAAATTCAAGTCTATTTATACTATTCTGCTTATCATGAACTAAGAACAGAAGTTGTATGAATCGTGGGACAATAGTAAAAGAATGCATAAACCGTGACATTGTGTTAAAAGTGTATTGAATCGTGACATTGTGGTAAAATAGTGTTAATTGTGCAGTATCGTGAGAAATTCGTGTAAAGTGTACATCGTGTGAACATAATAAAAGTAATATATGTTATATTTCAATAACTTACGCAGTAAGGAAACAAGAACGTACATATTTTGGCAATGTGGCTTCACTAGTGATTATGAATGAACGTAATTTCTCGCTACATTTCTAATTACGTTCATTCATAATCGCTATAATGCAACGTTGCCGAAACCTGAACGTTCTTGTTCGTTACTGCGCACTTCTTTTCTACGGTGAAGCAGACTGCTTTGTTTAATTGTATAACAATACGGGTAAAACACCGGCGCTCCGAAGTTTTCATACAAACTTCCCATGTTGACGATCCGAAACAGGCAAAAATCGAAAAAAAAGTTAAATTTTTTTTTCGATTCTCATACAGTATTTTTTGTGCCCAATCCATTGGTGTTATCGCAACATCGAAATTCGCGCTCCTTATCACTTAATTTGCATCATGTGATAAATGCGACTGACGTCATCAATAGCTCGGGAATCAATTGAAATGAAACACACGAAAAAGTATTCGAGTAACGAAACAATGTGATACGGATCCATTCATATGAAACAATGCGAGAGGATTCGTTGATAACGACACTGCAGACAAAAAATCTATCAAAACGGAACACCGCAAAGCGAAATACTTAAAACGGCACATGCTATGTTTCATTCTTACGGATTTCTTTTCCATGTTCCATTTTAATGGATTGCTTTGTTTTTGTTTCGTATCTGTGTATTGAGCGACGAAAGTCTCATATTCATTCCAACCGCATCATATTATTTACAACTGTGACATTTTTCGAACTTTCTCCAGAAACGTTTCACTGTAACTGATAACTTTCAATTGTGCGTTGTTATTAAAACGAATATGCATTTCTGTCGGTTTACTGCCAGAAAATTCATCACATTGTGGTGGTCAAAAGTATCGTTCATAGTGGATTATAGATTTAGTCAAATATTTGAGTCAACATACAGATG